AGGATTTGGTTGCTGTATCTCAACAGTGTAATACTCCCATTTCAAGCACTTTCTGGATTTCAAGGTTGGATTTGGAGTACACATTGTGTGATTAGATCGCGATATGCAACCTTTCTTTTGACCTCGGTCTATCTCAGTGAACCGATGAATGAATAGAGACTGCTTATCGTAATCCAACCACACATGGCGTACACCAAACGCAACTTTGAATTCCTTACGTCTATGCCAAGTGTTGCTCACGGATCTAAGAGCCATAGTTATCAAAGCGTTAGCCATGAACATGGTGGGTTTTCGCCTGGCAAGAGTTCACCCTATAAAAAGCCACAAAAACCCGTTTATTAACACTGTGACGTGGCGCATGTGACTCTCTATTGAATAAATTCACCGCCCACTGTCACCTTCTGGAATATCAACTAGAGTCATTTTTCAATGTTTTACTGACACGTACAACATATCTACTCTCAGTTTTCACAAAAGGTCCCCACTCCATCTACTGTGCTTTTTCTATTTACTCTACGCACACATGAAACCATTTTCTCGGCACCCCACTGATGACATTGCTCCTCATGAGTGCTTCGACTGTTTCTGCAAATTGTACAACTTTTGGCCACAGCCAGTTACGTGTGTTGTAACGTAGCTGTTGCGCAACACAATTGTTTGTAAACATTGTTCGTGCCTGAGTTGGTGTGCGTCGATGAACTCGAGAATAAAATATTTATTTATTCATTTACTAGGCTCCGATTTCCATCCCAGCTCAACCTATCTCCATCTGATGAGTCCACACTTGAACGTAATCATCAGCCGTGGTGTGTCAGGGTTGTGCGGAGCAACCCAGGAATACTTCCGAAATTGCTTTCTTGTGGAGACGAGATCAGACAAAATTCCTTTTTTTCCAATCCCACTTACGATGGTTGCCTCGCATTTTCAAATAAGTTGCTTCTCGCCCAACATTCAGTTGCAACCGATGGAGTGGAAATGCGGATTAATGTTGGTGGTATGCCGCTCAGTACTTGTCTGGACATTAGGGTTAACATAAACCTCAATTAGAAGCAGACGTAAGGGAACAAATAAATTGAGAAATCAGCTTCACCTCTCAGTGACCTTCTAGAGTCGTGCAGTTGGATGTTTTTATCCGCTTGGGTACAACGCATTCGTAACATCAGTGTGACAGTAACTCATTTGCGTCATTTGGTCCGAAGCCCAGTGACTGTCGCCTCATGTACTAAGCCAAGATACAAATGCCAGAATGAAATGGACTCAGTTATTATAACGCTGCGTCGTAAATCCGTCAGTTACAATCAGTGAAGACAGTTTTAGCGAGAATGCAAGTGCAATGCACACAAGAACAGCAAAACCTGCGTCTATACATGAAAGGGGAAACCATAAGCAATAAGCCGAAAGTAACCTTGACCCTGGCTTTGTTGATTCCGATCCCCTTAATCGAAAATACACTGCGCGCTAATCAAAGTTATTTTTGGGGAAAAGATGCTGCGATTGTATGCTACATATTCAACTGTACGCTTTGTGACCTAATGCAGCTTGCCGTATGCGCGGTGTTTAGACTTAGAAGGCGGCCCAGCGGCATCAAAGTCCCCATTCTTTTCGCCGACTCAATGCGGCCCACGTATCTCTCATTTGACGCTCCACGGGCATCTGTAACATAATATGAGTGGTGGAATGATACTGTTAAAACCGTAGAAGATAGACTACCAATCACACCTGCGTTATGACCAGCTGCGGAATCGATACCCTGTGAACGCCAAGTATAAGTATGATTTTTATGAGGCTTGCTGCAGCTGGAGTCAGCCAGAAAAAACGAACCTCAGGAAAGTGTTACACAGTCGTTCAGTCGTATTAGGCCTAGTCAGTATGACACTTCCGCCGGATGCTGCCTGATCCCAACCCATATACGTGCCCTTAGAAAGCAGGGGATTAACCTTTGAACCAAGAGCGACGGTGATGGATAGCTATGACTGTTCCCTAATTGCGGTATATGGGCTGGTAGCCAGAAGAATCTGGTGGATGGATCTTACTGGTGAGTCAGTATAGGACGAACCGGCTGAGTGGCCCTTTCCTAAATTTCTGGTGGCTGTGTTACCGAGTCTAACTGCGAAGAATGTTCTCAGAAAATACAATAAATCACCTACTAATGTCTAAGCATAGTGTAAGAACTCTTACGCCATTATGAATCATTAGGGCAATGTGGTTGTCTCAGATGCTTTGCGAGGATGGGTGATTGCTGCTGCATAAAATCAGACTGCTTCTCACACGCGCCTCATAAGGTGCTTGCTTTAAATCGGAGATGGCCGAACAGAACAGGTGTAAATCCAACTTAGTGCTTGCAAAGAGCCTCCCATGCTACTGCAGAGAACAGCAATCTAACATGGCAGTGAAGCTGGACATTCATCAACACAAATAGGACACTTACCTGTGACATTTGGTACTCTAGTAATTGACGAACAGTATCACCGTTAAAAGCTTGCTTACTCGGTTTAGTTCCCTGGCGTGACCGTGAGGACAGCTGCCTTTAATTATCCTTGCTTGATTAAGCCAGCAACACTAGCTGCTAAGCTGTGCTACACAGTCATTAGTTAATTATGTCGCCTTTTTTGCATTAAACCATGTCCCAATATATTTGTTTGTGTCTGATGAACTGTCAGAGCCCATTTGTTTTCAAGCCCCTTTGCATACGTGACTACTTGATTGCTTTTGTGATTGTGCTAAATTAGTCTAATTTTGCTTAATTTTCTACACTCTTATCTTTATTTACTCCAGTTCCACACACTGTGAATGATTTTACATGATTCATTACCAATGCATTTGGAATAATGAAACAATAAATTTATTTTTGTGACCCATGTAGCCACTAGATATGATCCAAATTGATGCCGACGGCTCGACGTATACGGCAAAGTGAAGTTACCCATAAAAGGTCTATCTCAGAGTAGACATGTTTATGCTTCGGCTTATCAGTAAGTTGGCTTCTTGAGGAGGGCGTTCGAGTGTTTGAATTCATCAACATTCTATGTGATGCACATGTGCATGCACAAGTCATATATGCAATCCAGCTTTGGCATTCTTGGCTGAAGCTTGGTCATGCGGCTCTCGAAATTCCGCGACCTTGAGCAATGCAATTTGTCAAAGGATGGCATAACGTTCCTTATAAGCAACTACTGAGGATACTCGGAGTGTTCAGTGGGCGCCACCGGCAGCAACTTTTACACTTCATGTTAGTTTACCAAATACTGAGCGGCCCAAGTCACCTATGTCGCCAGCATTTGAAACTCAGCCAGAACACCAATCGTAGAAGCAACGACCTGAAACTGAGTCGATAACTTAGTTGTCAGTGCTCCCCAACTTAGCTGTTTTCAAAATACGAATGAGTATCACAATGAGCTCCCTACCCTTCGTTACATGGACAAATATTCTGAATTAATTCAGGCCAATTAGACTATTTGGAATTATAAGCCACAGTAATGCACGTAAAACTATGCAGACGGGCGAGCAATCCGAATGTTATTTGTTATTAGCATTAAAAATAACAACTTGTTAACCTGCTTTGCATGGTATCATCTCACCCTAACCCCATAATATTTATATAATGACTCGATCGCTTCACCGATGCATATTTTATTTGGTCCACTTATGTAGTCATCGGATTTCAATTTCTTCCATTACTAACCTACGGAACATGTTAAGCCTGTGCTTTTTTACACATACTATACCACTGTTCCATTGCTACGGCGACAATTCAACTGTCGTTTCCTTTCTTTCTCCGAAAGGAAGCAAAGGCACAGAACTTTTATGAAGTTACGACTCGTCAGCGAATTCCGCAGAAGATTACTTTGATGTCGTTAAACTCATTCATATGAAAAGAACTACAATGTGCAGTACCCTTTCGCAGTAGGTTAGCACGGCTGGAGTGACCTTGGCTGTGCTCAAAACTTCAAATGATGGACAACTGGTACATCGATAATCACATATGGAATTTGTTATGCAGAACACTGCGTAATGCGTTCAATTGGAAAAGGTTGTAGTAGCATTAGGGACGCTAGAGAGGAGAAATCAAGTGAAAGCTGTCTGCTTGGCCGTGGTTTCGGCCTCATCGTGTTAGTTGTTAGCAGGTGGAAGAATTAGCGACCCCGGTGAAAGTACGTTAGCAAACATATAACTGCTATACTGAGAGGTATAACTTGCGTTTGTGTGGTAAAGTGGCCTCCAGTCACACTCGTTCTAGGCTCTTGGAATATGCTTGTAACGATTTCGTAGGAAGATAAACATCCTGCAATTATCGAGTCTCATAAACGGTAGAAACCCAATTTAGGGGTGTGGTAACTGCCGCATTAACTACAGGGCATATGTGAACATTGGAGACTTAAGCACCAATGTCACGTTATGGACGTGTACTTGTGATCCAACTTGACTCTCAGGGGCGCGCACTTGAAACATCATGGACAACGGTCACTTGTTGTTTTTCCGGGAAGCGAAAAAGGACGGAACTGGCATTTTAGTCAGCCAGTTGTTAACAACTGTTTGAGGATGCCGTGGTTTACACAACAATTTACTCTTGACGGGTGCGGTAATCAGGCAACGATCACCGTCTGTCTGGTATGCGTACTCAGATGTAACCACACATGCGACCCACTTCCGCCTGTTGGTGGCAAACCACTCTAGGTGAGCGCGAACACGTGCGTGGTGGCCAATGGAAAAATTCTACTGTGATTGGTTCCCGACTCACACTTCACGTGACAGTAGACAATTCGTAGACCAATAAAATGTTCCCCATTGCTTTAAGCTATGTCCCACCCTAGGTAAAATAATCGCCGTCTAGTATTCTGGCACAAGGCGCAACGTTTGATCAATGCCAGGTTGTCGATTTTGACCGCCTCATCATGCATCCGAATGTGCTTGTTCAATTTGCATGTGAACATAGGAGAGAATCGAAAACCAGGCGGATTATAACGAACTGATCGTGTTTTCTCACAGCGGTATACTTACCGATGTCCAGTTTGGATTATAGCGAGTTGGATAAGTGGATGGCTGATCTGAATGTTCTACAACAAGTATGTGATCATTGCAACAAGTATGCTTAGTTCTAATCTCCTGTGTGCTTAACACAAACTTTGGTAGATGCCGCGTGTCGTGATTAATTACATTCTTAACGTACGCAGGCTTTGTGTGTGATGAGGAGTTGACACAGGCCAGAGGGATGCAAGTCTCCGGAAAAAGAAGTGGCGTGTTAACCGCAGTAGCTATTCCACAGACACTGTAACTATACAGCAGTCCATGAATTATGTCTGAAAGTAGCAAACAAAGCTGCGTTTACATGTGGAATATAGGTTTAAAATTATTGTTTTTAGCGCCGTTCCTCAAATAAGTGGTATAAATTTTCCGCATAAGGATGAAGTAAAGCGAATTCGTCTGTGGGGACTTAATAATCCTCAGGTTACACACTAAACTTAAGGACTATATTTTTAGTTTGTTGCGATATGATTGTCCGATCAACAGTAGGAACGAACATAAACAGCTGACTAAATCATGGAGAGTACTGGCTGGCACATGGATGGACAATTTCATCTTTCACCTGCTTCAACCAATTAAACCGTATATCGGAATTTGGCATAGAATTATGACATTTTGGTGCAGCTACATGGTGTACCCTCTGCCTTCTTGCCTCTTGCCTTCTTGTATACTTACTCAAAATATGTCTTCCATCGTACTTGCAAGCTTCGCACTCCAATGTTCGTGGATTTCGTATCTGAGATGAGAATATTTCGGTGGCACCATGGCTCTATGGTTGCTGCAGGTGGCGCGTATTTTTCTGCTCATCAATCAGAGTTACAACGCTGACTGAGAGAGGGGGAATTCTAACTCAGTTCAGGCTTGGAACCCAAGCCCGCTAAAGTTGGACAACATGAATTCGATAAGCTAAAGCGATGCAGTGCTCTCATACAATAGACCAGTAGCACTAGAGGCACCGACGGCAATCATTGTCCAACGTTGCGGTTGACCGACACTAGATCAACTGCGTCTGTGCCAAATAAGTTTGCAAGAACATGATTCACATGAAAGAGATCGCCTGCTGTAGATTTCTTTTCTTATTGTTCCCTTATCTGATTCCTGTCTGTCAAAAGCCGATTGCTCTTATGCATAGCGAAGAATAGGCAGAAATCTTCTGCACACATTTGAATGTTCTCCTGAATCCACTTGTGCTTCTTGACAAAATTGTCCGTGGAAGTTAGTTGACAGCCGTTCTTAGTTAGTTTTGTCTGATTCCTTGGTTTATTCCAGAAAGATGGAGCGTAACCCTTAACCTTTTTAATCATACCCTAATTTCGAATAAATTTGATCAGGCTAAAATTATAGAATTACGATTTTGATTTTGGCTTGGCAGTGAAAGATGCGCCGGGCTATAGCATAGTCAACTGTCAATCGCGCAGGTCAGCGGCTGTCACCCATGGCAAAGTGGCACTAGCTGCTGGCATCCGGAAGTCATGGAGTCGGAACCCGACAGGGGCCCGATAGAAGGCGCACCACAGACGAGACCAAGAATGTCGAAATAGCGCTGTCTGGTGCTTTTTCAGACTAGCCAATGCCTGCTGACTGAGAGTGCAGCGTGATGAATTAGGTCTAACTTTTGACAGATCTTACGTTATGCCTTGTGCAATGCCATTTCATCCTAAAAAGTCAAAACCATAAATTTTTTTACTTTTCAGTGTTTTAGAAGTTACATTTCTCTGTTCGCCTGCTTTCAGTCCCAATTTTGTGATCAACCTCCTCTGCGGCACTACTCATATTGAAGCGAAGCACAGTCAGATACATCACTGGAACCGAACTTTAAGCCCAATCTAACTTCATCTTATGATGCATTAGCGTTCAGTCCAACCAACTTGAGGAAAATATGGTGTTGTTTTCCCTTTTTAGTCATCTTAGCTTTTGGATTTCTAGCTCACGTTCTTAGTCCGAGGGATAAGAATACTGTCTGCTCTGTCGGCTCTTTTTCCCTCCAAAGTAGGGTGAGCAGTCTCCAACATCTCCGCACATGTGTCGCATGTCCGACCGCAGCGTCACTTGATGTCCGTCTATTAGGCCACGACAGATACATTAACTCCGGCCTCTACAAGAGCAATGTGATTTATCTAATTAGTCAAATATGTGTAAGTTAAAGCTCCCACTTATCTCAAACTGACCTCCTTTGTGAGTTACATCGGCAGTGTTCCAGCTATTGACCATGTGATGGGTGAGCAATTTTAGATTCCGGTCCAATGAACTATAGCACCTCTCTCTCGATTGGTTCAGTTGCACTTAATAAGCGACCAATAACATGGTGCGACAGTTAGCGTACCTCCTTGACCCATTGAGCTATACTGGGTAATGCCTCAGGACACCTTGAGAACTACTCCTACCAGGTTAGTCAATGGTGTGAGGTCAGACAAACTCGGTCTCCTGATTCTCCAGGTTGGAAGTTTAAAATAAGATGGCGTCCATTTCTGTTAAACTAAATCATTGCCACCTCCCCACTGCCTTGCGGACAGGCTTTTGAGCCAAAGGCTTTGGATGAGGACCCTAATCGTCCTCCTGTCTAGGTCTGGGCGCCTTGGCAGTATCTCAGTTCACATACAACCATGACATTTTCCTCAAACATAAACTTCATCCTGCATCGGCCACCGCGCAGATTATCAAGGGTCGCCTTATCCGCTGCATACAGCAGGGCGGATAAGCGAAAACATGCTACTGCTGGCGCCTCTCTTCTTTCTTTTCCACCTGTTTCTCTTACTCCTATCCAACTCCATTATTAACCTACTGTAATTTCTAGCTAACTTGACAGCAACCGAATTGCCACTGGAGTAGAACCATCTACAGCCACCTTATCACAGCACGCGCCGGACCCTTATAAGACCATGCTGCCCCGTTTCCATGGCGACGTTCAATCTTCGCACCCTAAAAAATTGGTCAACAGGCTGCACTCGCAAGCAGGTTGGACACCCTGGGTAATGATGTGTGTGGAGTGTCCGAAACTAGGATCAATAACCCTAGTGGGGTTGTTGAATTAACTGCACCCGGCTCATCCACTGGTTATTGGTTGCACGCCTCCGGAGACACCGATGTAGCACTCACGGGTCAGGCTGGTGTAGGCATCATTCTAACCTCCAAGGATGAGCCATTGTTGGTTGATTGGATTCCGGTGAACAGCCGTTTACGTGTAGCCTGTTTGACGACATCAGCTAAGGCTGATTCGCGAAGCAGTAGAAATAGGTTTTTTGTCATTTCCGCTTATGCTCCCACCGACTGCAAGGGCACGTTATATCATGAACTGGATGCGCTAGTACGAAGTGCTGCTAGTTCGGATATAAACACTTGAAAGAGATTCGAACACAAAAGTAGCGCGCCTGAGCTCTTCAGAAGCTCAGTTGGGTGGTAATTTTGAGCTTAGCTCCGAACGGACTGACAAGGGTGATCGTCTGCTGCAACTGTATGCGGAGCACCAGTTGTTTCTTAGTAACACTGCTTTTAGACACAGTGGGCGCCGCAGTGACATTTGGCGTCCTCCTGCAGCTGGTCAGCGAAGAACCCACATTGACCACATAGCCATAGGTTACACCTGGCCTGGTTCCATTCTGGATTGCCCCTCTTACTGGAGTACCTGGGTCGACTCTGATCATGCCTTGGTTTGCTGTCGTTTCTCCATACACTTTATCGGGTGTCGCACCAAGCGTCTCCTCCAATTGGCAATTGAGAAATTGTCTTAGCCCTCGGTCAGGCAAGCCTACCAAGACGCTGTCCTGTCCTAATGACACTGAGCGTCAATGGAATATGATCTCGGCCGCCATGCACGACGCAGGAGCATCTGCTTGTGGCACTATCTATCATCACCGTATCAGTCACTGAATATCCGAGAGGTAGGTGAAACTGTTGGAATCTAGAAGAAACCTCCCGGCTGGCTCTGAGCACAACGTGACCAGACGGTCTATTAGGCGCGAAGTAAAGCGGAGCCTACGTGCTGACAAGGAAGCCTGGTAGACCACTCGAGGTCAAGAAATGGAGGAGGCAAGAGCAGCAATCAATTGCCGCAAGCACTTTCACCTGATGCGCACCACTGGTCCAGGGAAAGCAGGCGTCAGTGAGACAATCCGAGATAGCGCGGGTGCACTGATACACACTAAGGAGCGCCGTATGCCTTCTTGGACGGAACACTTTCAATATCAGTTCGCCCGGCCCCCTGCTGCCAGACCTCTTCCTACTCAGGTGATGCAGGACGAGCCATGGACGGTTAGTTTAGAGCCTCCGTCGGAGGCCGAGGTCCGAAACGCGATCACAGCCCTCAATCGTTTTCGTGCCGCTGGCCCGGATTCCCTACCACCTGCACTATTTAAGGATGGAGGTGAGGTCCTCTGCAAAGCACTGACCTCCCTATTCGAACGTATCTGGAATGAAAAGAATGTCCCGGCTAAGTGGATCGAATCGATTATAGTGGCAATATACAAGAAGGGCAGTAGCACAGACTGTTCTAACCACAGGGGTATTAGTCTAACACAAGTTGTGACAAAATTATTGATCCTTCTCGTTCGTGGCATCAACGTGGAACAGGAATCTCGGATTAGGGAAAAGCAGGCCGGTTTTCGCCCAGTACGTGGCTGTATAGACGATATATTCACTGTGGGACAGGTGCTAGAGCAGCTCCACGTATAACTCAGACCAACAATAGCCGTTCCTCGATTTCAAGAGTACATTGGATTCAGTCGATCGATCGATTCTGTTCTCAATACTTGCGCAGAAAAGTGTTCCTACAAACTATGTGAACATCCTTCGTGCTCTATACTCAAACACTACAGGCCGCGTCTGGATCGACGGTGACCTGTCGGATAACTTTCCGACCACAACCGGCATTCGTCAGCATTGTACCATGTCCTAATTTTTGTACGATTTCGTCTTGGATTCTACCATGGAGTGTTTCCTTGCGGAATCTCATGACGTAGGCGTTGAAATGCTGCCTGGCGAAAGATTAGTTCGTCTTGACTACACGGACGATATCGTCTTGATTTTCGACGATGTTACGACGGCA